CAGTGACTACACCTGACACACTCTGCTTTCATAACATGGGCCCAGGATGGAAGGATGACAGTGTAGAAATGTGATCAGAGTGATTATTGAAGGGGAGGAGGTTGGTGACATCTCAGTCCCTTTAAAAATGAAGGTGACTTTAGGGGTCTTTTACAAAGCACTAAAACAAAAAAGTATGTATTTGAAGGACACTTTGAAAAATTGAATGAAATCACTTCAGGCAGTCCTCTGCCTCCTGGAAACACACCTAGGACAGATGCTTCTCCATCACCACCCATAAAATACAGCACCTCAGCAGTGACTTGGCAACTTTCATGCCAGGAAAAGGTTATAATTCAGGAGCCCATTCCATTATATTTGAAATATGAGGCATGGCCTAACATATGACTATCTGGTCCTAGAATGCAAATTCCCAACCACTACATATTGTGCCTTTCTTATGTGCTTTATTCATCTCTTTTTTTCAATAAGAATTTTTTTTCCAATTAGAAAAAGTAATGTAAGTTCATTGTAGACATTTTGGAAAATTGTAGGAAATCATAGAGAAGAAAACAAGAATCATCCACAATCAAACCACTCAGATATACCCTGTTAAAATTTTGGCTATAGAACTTTCCAGTTTTTTCTTGTGTCAGAACACACATCTCTGAGATGGCAGGTGGGAGCTACTGCCTGTGACCCTAAACAAGAAGTGTCTCTTTAAAAGCAACTGCCCATTTGGGGGGAAGAAGTCTTGGTCCTCATTATATACACATTTGCCTTATTTCTTCCCTTCTTTGGCAGCATAACCACTTGGGCTCACCTAACAGACACATGGGACTCTCAATTGCCTACCCATTTGCACCTAGTTGGAGTGTCCATTCCTCTAGGACAGTGATCCTCTCCACAGTTCAGGAGCAAAGCTGGCGTGTCTAACACTTACCCTGTTAAGTCCATTCTCCGTCTTGGCACCAGTTGATGGGTGACCAGGGAGACAAAAAGACTATGGAGCTTTGGGACAAATTCTTTGCTCCTAAGAAAAGACGCCCAAGAAAAGATGGTCTTTTGTTATCTTAGATGTTGTTCTGTGCGGACTGATGCCTGGAATTGTGGAGCCATTTTGGGGGGCCTGAGAGAAGCTAGCAGGAGAAAAAAGCCTAAAGCACCTTAACTGATCCAGATAGAATATCCCAGACGACTTTTAGCAAGACATGAGAAGCCACTGGACAGAAAGCAGACTACGGTGAGAAATGAGCAATTTGCAGAAGAACATATATATATATATATGGTATGATTCCATTTATTTAGCTAAATAGATGTAAATACATAGAGAAGGGTTGAAAACAGACTCTGGAGGAATATACACTGAAATGTTGGCAATGGTGACCTCTAAGAACCACGTGAATCAGGGCGTCAATTTTTTATTCTATGTATATTGTGTTGTTTGAAGTTTTTATAATAGTAAGCATGTATGTATTCTTCTAAATTTTTTTAAACATTTCAATTTTAAAGACTATATATGGCTTCCCCTTTATTTGAAATGTGTGTGAGAAGCTTGGAGCATTTTTCTAGAGAAAAAAAAGGTTTTGTGGTCAAAAAAATTCAAGTTATTTTCAGTTTCTAGGGGGATCCCACTATATCTCACAGCTCAGCACACCTCTCAGCAGACTTTCCTTTCCCACAGGAAGAGCCACAGAGAGAAAGAACATGGGCTTTTGTTCAGTTTGTCAGGGGTCAAGGTCTGAGTTGTGAAGTGGGGCAAGGCAATTAAGCTCTTCTATGAAATCACAACAGTGGGCACTCAGGGGACACTGCCAGAGTGCATGCTTGTGGGGTGCCCAGTGATGGGTAAGGCATAGGACGTATCTCCAGGCAGCGGAGCATAAGGGTTGTACAGCATGTCTCAAAGTGCAAGCCAGAGTCCCCACACCAGAATCACCTGCCATCTTGTTAAAATGCAGGTTCTAGAGCCCCCCACCACCAAATGTGAATCACAGCCTCTGAGGATGAGGCCCAAGAACCTGAATTGTCTTCTTATGAGCACATAAAGTACAAGAATTACTTCCTCTGTGGGTGAACGGGACTCATCAAAATAGTCAGACTGATGGGGAAGGTTCTTCTTTCTCATCTTAATACCTGTATGCTCAGAGCCAAATTAGTGGCTCAGTTGTAGCCATGTGGCTTCATGGTGAGAGGACTATTAGGAGCCCTATTCCTGGCTCCTCAAGTTAATTCTCTCTTCTTTCACACCTGTTGTCATCTTCAATATCCCCTAGTGAGCTACCAAAAGCTCACAGGACAGGCCGGGTAAACAAACAAAAGAATAAAAGCAGCCATTTATTAAGCACTTAGCCAGGGTGCTAAGTGCTTTATATCATACCTCATTTAATCTTCATAACAAACCTATGATCAATACTATTAGTAATCCTATTTTACAGATTTGGGGACTGGGGCTTCAAGAATTCAAGTAACTTGCAGAGCAGGTGCCAGAACCCAGGTCACTAACTCCAGATCCCATGCTCTTAAACACGTACCACTTGTCTTTGATGTAGATGAACAGTGGTAGCCCATGATTTTCATACAGGACTGGCCCTGGGGGTTGCAATCCAAATAAAAAAAGGGGGGCCTTGAAGCTTCCTTTGTATAACTAGCATGCTATTTTTACTTAGATTTTATGATCCAGACCAATATTTTTAATTTTGAAGATGCTTTTATGAATATTTTAATAAAGTGTTTTTGTCTTATTTTATGTGTACATGTATGTATGTATATATGTATGGGGGGGTTACAGAAGGAGTCATCTGCAGTGGTGCAGGCACTATAAATGAATTAGTGAAACTATTTCGTGTCAATTTCATATTATGATTTCTGTTCGGTAATCTTTGATGGTTTTGGGGGTAAATGAATACATTTTTACAGAAAGAACCCCTCCCTCCAAGCTGATATTTATTTTAATAAGTGTGTGTATCATATACAGTTGAGCCTTTGAACAACACGGGTTTGAACTGCACAAATCCACAGGTACCCAGACTTTTTTCAATACAGTCGGCCCTGGGTATCTGCCCTTTTTGATCAAAAACAGTATTTTCCTTCAATGGCTGGGAATCCTCGGGTGCAGAGGGCCAGCTGTATGCATGGTTCTATACCATTTTAGATAAGGGACTTGAGCATCCACGGAGTTTGGTATTCACCGGGATTCTGAAACCAATCTCCCACAGATACTGAGAGCCAACTGTAGTTAAGTTTGGGGGGCAGGCAAAAGTTATACAACTGGGGGGGGGGAACATCGAAGCCCCTAACACCCCCTTCACTCCTACCCCTCCCCACTCCCTGCTGTCCAAGGGCCAACTGTAATAAAACAAAAAAAGCAAACCGTAGAAAGCACACCTTTTTTCCATCACCGTCTAGCTATGCTCCTCAGGGATGCCCACTGTAAAAAGTGCACATGCACTTACACACATTTACTTACACACACACACACACACACACACACACGGTGTACAACCAACATACAATGCAACCTACTTTGTTCACTTAACCATATATGCTTATGGATCTTGCATACAGTATATTTTGCTTTCTTGTGTAACATAAGAACTTCTGTTTCCCTTGAGGCCTAGAGGACAGGAGATGGGAGAAGGCTCTCTGAGCTTGAAGGTGAGGTGTCCGCCCAAGCCAGGGCACAAGGTTGGCTCACCAGTGGGTGGGCCTGCTAAGCGGCCCCGCCCTCCCAGGGCTGGGACAAAGGGAGAGAGGAAGTTTGCGGCTGGGAAGCTCCGCTGCTCTCGCCTGGGTTTCCCGTTTACCTCTCACTGAGACTGCGAGGAAAGTTAGCAGGGAAATCTGAGCCCTCCTGAAACTCAGGCTGGCCCGGCCCAGCCCCAGGAACTTCCCCTCGCAACAGGGACGGGGAGCCAGGCGCCTGGATGGACATGTCGCCAGCTCTGGTGAGCTCCCAGAGCAGGGTCGCGGCACCCGGACGGTTTCGCAGCAGCACCCTCTGTCGGCGGCTCCGCGAACGTCCTGCGTCTGCTGGCCTGTCTATACTTGGTGTTCTGCTCGTGTGCAAATGGGGTGCAGACGTCTAACACCAGTGTACACATTTGCACCTTTCGTAGTAATGTTAAATTCCGCTAGGAACTTCTAGCTAACCCGTCTAATTCTGTGCACCTGCGTAGAGCATCCTAGCTGTGTGTGCAAATGAGTGTGAAGGTCTACTCGGGGTGCCTAGGTATGCTTTGAGTGTGTCATGGGTTGCCTCTGCCCGCCTGTGGATATTTCACTTTCTGCTCCCATCTGTCTATGAGCGAGCATCTATGAACATAGATCATATCTCTTTACACATTTGAGTCTTATTAGTAGTACACACATTTTCCTTATCTCCCCAGAACTGTATCTGTATAAACATACAGGTGTGTGTGTGTGTGTGTGTGTGTGTGTGTGTGTGTGTGGTGCATGGAGCCACAATGGGCGGTAATGAGTATTTTCTGAAATCCATGTTAAAGGAATAATGTAGGGGAGGGTGCCCCAGATATGCTAAACCTTTTGCCCTCCGACTTCAAGGGAACCATAGATTTTGCTCTGGGGCCTTCTAGTTTATAATTGCCCCATCCTAGCCTGAACTCAGCCTCCTGTGTGACCTCGGCCTCCTTCGTGACCTCTCTTTGGCCTTCCTTCTTCAATCTATGGAGCCCAGGGAGGCTGCCTACTGCTGTCTCTTAGCACCTTGGCTGTGATGTCAACCCAAAGAAGACAACATCCCATCTCCTTCCTTTTTCCCCCACCCAAAAGTCATTTCCTCTTAGTTCATTACCTGGGATTTTGATGCTATGCTCCCCAGCATTATTGATACACACACTTAAAAAAAAAAAAAAAAAAAAAGGAACTTCTTGAAATTCCCCCAGAAGGTTTTGAGAGTTGTTTTCAGTGTTGCAACTTGGAACAAATCAGTTTCTAGTTTAAGTTTCTATCAGAAAGCTTGGTAGGAGTATGGTATATAAGGTCCAGTAGCAGCAGCAGCAGCAGAAGAAAAAGAAGAAGAAGAAACAACAGTGTCAGACCCAGCGAATTCTGCAGCTTGGCCAGAAACAAGGTAAGCACTTCTGTAGCCCCTGCCACCCCTTACCCAGGCCCACACCATGCGCGTGCTACCACGGCACCTGATGTCATGGCGTGGGTGGATTCCTAGAAGCGTTCCTGATGACTTACCTGCTGGGACACTGGTGAAAAGTCAGTATTTGGGGGACTGATGTATAAAGTATTAATTTAGAAAGCCAACTAGTAATAACTATATATCAAGGTCTGTGAATGAAAGCACACTTGATAGAAAGATTTGCTTTATCTTGTGTAAAAGTAGTATGTATATAAAACCGTGTTCCTCGGTATTGATGCCTGTCAGTTAAAGGATTATATAGAGTGTTGCTTACCTTAGTGTTGTAAACTTTTTTAAAGACGTACATTCACTAGGTAAAAGTGAATTCAATAAGCAACTGAATTCATAACTTTCACCTCATAATTGAATGTTCCAGAGCACACTTGCTCCCATATTTGTGATGTGCTTATTCGTTAGTTGTGACAATCAATCAGGTTGATAGCTGGGTTATCAGTTCTTTTGGATTAATTAACTTGAGCCCACTTTAAAAAAGGGAAAGCAACTGCAATGTTTAAAACTAGTTTCTGAAGACTTTTAAAATCTATGAGAAGAAAAACAGATAATCTTTACTATGCTGGTCTCTCATACTTGCCCAGGTAAATTGTGTGCGACAATTTTCAGGTTAAAAAAAAAATAATGATCAGATTAAAATATCATTCTAACAAACAGATTACCAACCGCTGATGGCCCACTTTTTTTTTCCAAATAAGGAATTTCAAGATATTACAAAGAATTTGGGCAGCCTCTCAGAGTTCATTTTACTGGGATCTGAAATTTAATGATTTCTGTACGTTCATTCCTTTTTCTACTAATTAATGAAATCTCTCTAGTTTGGAGTCTGGGATATAATGTAGAGTAAGACATGATCTTGGCCATCAGCGATCTCAGTGTGGTGGGGAAGTAACTATACATGAAAGAAGTAACCATATTATTGCACTTGTAAAAAGTGCTGTGGAAGAAGGAATGGGGCTCTGGGAGAGCAAATAGTCGGGAGTCCCAGCTTCGTTTGGGCATCATGCTGGACCCTTCACATGACTTACATCATTAACTCCGCTCTGCAACAGGATGCCCGTTTTACAGATTGAGAGTGTGAGGCTTAACGAGTTGTCCAGAGTCACACAGCTGATGAGCGGTCGAGCTGGGATGCCAGTGCAGGTCCCACCCGGCTCAGGAACGGGGACCCTTTGCGTGTGCTACCCATGCCTTCTGTGACTATGTATTTTTATTTTTAAACAATAATTCTCTTCTAATTAAAAAGCAAAACTTGAAAAAGAGACGCCCAACCAAGCGTCATTGTCATACCCATGTTGGCACCAACGTTAGGGAGCCTTAATGTACCACAGGCCCAGGGCTCCCTGTGCCCCTCATATGAGGGTTTCAAGAGTTTAGAAAACCTATGAAATTACATGAAAAAAAAAAACCTGTAATCCTCAAGACTCTCAGACTTAGCATGCCAAAGAAATGCAGGCTGTGGGACACAGCTCCCTGCTACCAGCTGATTTAGAGAACCACAGAATAAACTACCTGTGGCCCACTTTTCGGCATCCCCTGGGTTTGATTAAGGGGAGACCATCTCCATCCACTCCCTGCCAGTGTTCTGTGGTTTGAAATGTAGGTGATACTAAAATAGGAACCATCACCAGGTCTCCCTTGATCCTCAAGTGCAGTTCACCTGAAATTCTCAAATACATCTGAGGTCCAGAGAAGAAGTCCTGGGCACACAGCCAAAGGGAAAACCCAACATTAAGAGAGTATAAAGGTATCGCCAGGACATGCCAGGAATCTCTTATCATTTCCCTCCCGAGAGCACCAACATCTGGGTTTCACAGGTCTGTGTAACTGCCATTCCTCTATGGCATTTCCCTGCAGGAACGACTTTTTGCCTATTGTATAGGAAACAGAGATACCAAATTTTTCCTTTGTCTCTTCCTTCCCCGAGGTATAAGCCAACATGTTATTGGTGGCCTTCTGTAATATGTCATCTCATTGCCTTCTCCCAGCAACCCTTAAGTATGGGTATTACATCCATTTTATTATAGATGAGGAGACAGAGGTTCAGAGAGTAAGCTGGCCAGCATCACATGAGTGAGCGGTGGTACCAGAATGGAAGCCCACATCTGCTTGACGCGAAGCCTGTGAACGTACTAACTGATGCTCTGTGGCAACTAGTACTTTGCTATAGAGTCCTAACTTGGACTAGACAGATAGACGTGCCCCTGAAAGCTCCACCCTGCAGTGACAGGTGCGCTGCAGCATGTGGAAAGGCCTGACTTCTAGTCCTGCCTCTGCCACGCACAGCCTCTATAATCTTAGGCAATAAAGTACATGGCCAAGCTCCGCCTAGGAGTAGCAGCCGTTCTGACAAAGCCGTTATTTGTCAATATTCAGTCACCCCAATCAAGAGATGCTCATTGTTAAGGTATTAGGCTGTCAGTTTTGAGACTTGTTCCTCATATGATGTAGACGGTGGTTCCTGAAGCCATGTTCCTGCCCAGCATGGGTGCTCTCTGAGATGAATGGAGGTGTTTCAGACCGAAAGTAAACAATAATCATCGCTACCTACTTCACAGGCGGGGTATAATTTTCACAGTCTGAAGGTTTTCATAAATCCGAGATACTAATTTAGACTGAATTTCAATATAAAATAGTGGCTGAGTTATTACCAAGTTATGCATTTCACTATTTCATGGTGGGCATTGTCAGTATATTATGGACTTCTCCCACAGAACATCCTGATTGTTCAGGGACTCGGGAACCTAAACATGGGTGAAACCATTGGTTCTCAAAGTGTGGTCTCAGGACCAGCAACATCGGCTTCACCTGTAAACCTTTTAGGAATGCAGATTCTCAGGCCACGCCCCAGACCTGCTGAATTAGACTGGGGGGCGGGGGGGAGGAGGAGCTCAGCAATTCGTGTTTTAGCAAAGCTTCCTGGTTATTCTGACTTATGCTCAAGTTTGAGAACCACTGGGTTACATTATGTGAGAGGGAGTAATCTTTGAGTTTGGAGCAATTACAGTCTAAACATGAGGAGAAGCAAAATCCCTACAACAAGGTCGAGTGACCAGGTTGTTGCCAGAATTTGAAAGACTGCCTCTATATTACCTTTCCCTCCCCAAACCAAGTCCTTTAGCCCTGGGTGTCACTGCAAATACTACCTTGTGCTACAGTGATACACGCGCGTAGCTTATCTTCCCAACTGGAGGGTTGGCATTTAACGCACTAGCGTAATAAATATTTGTTGACTGAAAGTATTTGCTCCTAAAAGGCAGGATCCAGGTAAAAACCTATTTTCCTCTCCACGGCACTAGCTCAGTGCCCTTTACATAGTAAGTACCAAGTAAATAACAGCTGAATATTGATCCAGACAAGTCATGTTCCATCGCTGAGCCTTAGGTTTCTCATCTTAAAAATAAGAGGATTATATCAGAAGGCTAGCCTTAGTCTCGTGCAGCCTCAGGTAGTCTGTGGTTCTCTGTTTGGAGATGTTCTTACTCAGAGACTGGTGTAAAGAAAGGCTCCTGTGATTCGCTTAGTATTAACCTGACAGTGCCGAGAAGAGGGAAATAAAAGCTAAAAGACAATGTGCATAGAGTGTCAATATGGTTTCCAGAGGGAACTGAGTAATTATTGACGTTCTCTCTCCTCTTTGCCCTCTTGTGTCTCTTTTCCTCCTTCACCTCCTCTTTTTCTCTCCCCGCTACAGATGCTTCAGCAGTGGTTGGTCCTCTCCTGTTTTTCCCTGGTTTTTCTGGCATCGCCCCTCGTGGCCAAATGGGAACTGGAGAAAGATGGTAAGCAGACCCTCCGTATTCTCTATAGAGGCCAGACCTCGGCCAGGACTCTCAGGCAGCCCCTGGGGGGAAGTCGACTGAAATGGACAACCATGCCTTGGGGCTTCCTAGCGAGAACCATCACCCTGGAAAAATACTGGCCACATGTCCTTCGTTCATGATTGAGGGTGCCTGTATTGTTTGGCTTTCACATTAGATGACAGAGAGGGAGCTTTTTGTGGACCATGGTGGAAAAAGAGACAAATACAGACTTTGCTAAAACCCAACTGTATCATAGGATTAAAATTCCAAAGTGAAGATTTGAAAAGTATAGGAACTATGTTCTGTCATTTCCCACTCCGCCACACGATATCACCTCCTCAGCTGGCACCAAGATGACTTACCTCTGACCAAACACTTTGGGGGAAAGCACAGCATTTAGACTCACATTGACTTGGGTCCATAAGGCTGGTTCTGCCACTTATTGGTTATATGACCTTGAGCAGAGTCACCTCTGAGCCTGAGCTTCCTCCATTGTAAACCAGGGATTACAAAGTGATCCATTCTATATGGATTATTACCTGTATTAACTGATTATTAGTTGTGCCTGAGACCCTCAGAGGTTTCTCACTGAAGCCGACATAATAGTGTTCACAATACTGTCATTAACTGTATAATAATAATACTTAATATTCATTGAGCAGAGTATTTCATTTAATTCTCACAGCAACTGTAGGAAATAGGGACTGCTTTTACCCCATTTTACAGATGTTGAAAATAGAAGCTACAGAGATTAGGTAACTTACCCAATTTTACATACCTGGTAGAGGTGGCACAGGGACTTGATCCCAATCCTGTCTCTCTTCAAAGCCTGTGCCCTTAAGTATTCAAAGAAGGTCTTACAGGAAGGACATGAAGCAATTGTTTCCTATGTCCTTGGAGAACTGAGGAAGAAGAAATAGGCGTATATTAAAAATGAAGACATTTCAGCTGATCACCAGAAATAATCTCTTGATAAGCATTGAAATGGGTGCCTAAAAGAAATTTTGGGCTATCCCTCCATTCTGAATAATTTCGGGAAGACAATAATCCAGCCCTTATCCCTCTGCCCCAGGAGGATTGGAGGCTTTTAGACCCTTCCTTGAGTAAAGCCCGATGATTCTGCCACATCCCTGCCAGCCCTGCGGTTTTCAATGAGCTCAGGGACCTTGGCCCTTGCACAGTGAACCCTTCGTTACTTCTGATCTGGTAAACCACATAAACTCCAGAACATCCATGTGAGAAACCCTGAGAGGGCTGTGACTTTGGAGACAAGATGAGGAGGTGAAGCCAAGCACAGCAAGGGGCCGTTTAGGGCTTCTGAGTCACACTTATGACAGGAAAGTAGCCATGCTGTCCAGTTGCCAAGGGGACAAAGAAAAACTAAGAAAGCCAAAGGTGCCATGTGGTTTTATGTCAGCATAGCCATCAGGTCGAAAGAGTTGAGCCCCAAATGCTTTTTACGTCTTCTCTTAGTTACCCATTCAGGAGTTATAAGTCCCTCTGATATGAAGTGAGAACTTTATATTCCCTGATGCTTTATGTTTGGATGCCAATAACCAGAGCCACCAGTTATAGAGCATTTAAGGGCCTTGTGTTAAGCTCGTCTATGAATTAGCTTGTATAGTCCACATGTCAACCTTCTGAAGCAAGTACTAATATTTTGTTCATTTTAAAGAAGGTGATGCCAAAGCTTAGAGTAATTACATGTCTTGCCCAAGGCCACAGGCTAGTGTAAGAGAGAGAGCTGAACATAAGCCCACACCTCTGTGACTCTGAGAGCCAGGCGCTTAACCACTGTGACTCTCAGAGCAGGCATCAGAATTATCTGGAAAGCATAAAAAACAGATCACAAGCCCACCCCAAAGCTTCTGGTTCAGCAACTGAGAATTTGCGTTTCTCACAGATTCCTAGGTGATGCTGCTGATGGTGGCTGGATGATCATGGTTTGAGAACCACTGCATGAAATGATTTTATTTAATTAATAATTGACGCATGAATGAAGCTTTGATGTGACACCCTTTTTGAAATACTATATACTCAGCCATTCCTCCAGTGCCAGTTTAGGTACTGATATTAGGGATCCGATGCAAAGTGGAGGAGACAGAAAGTCTGAGATACAGGTCTTGGGCATCTGACTTAATGTAGCCTTGCTTAGCCTCTTGGTCTCAGTACCCTACTCAGCTGCCTCATTAAGAGAGTAAAATAGCTTAAAAAAATACGGAGAGAATGAAAATTTCCATTGGTGAGTTTCATGCAGTAGGAACTAAACCCTAAAATTCCCATGGAAAATTATTCAGATGGTTTTTCTGTGCAATTGTCGGACCCTTTGGTCTGTGAATAACCATAACAGCTAACAGTGAGTTCACTGAGGCAGGCACTGTGCTAGTAAGTGTTTTGTATGCTTTTCTTCATTTCATCCTCACAGCCAGACCTACAAAATGGGTACTATTATTAGTGTCACTTTACAGACGAAAAAACTGAGCCTCATGGTGGTTAAGTACCTTTCTCCAAATCCTCCAGCCATCTGTGGGGCCAGGATTTCAGTCCTGGTCAGGTTTTCTTGACACTCTGTACCCTGCTTTATTCCCCATGAGACAGAAATTGTGCTGGAAGTTTCTTATCTCCACCAGGCCTTCAGCAAAGAGTCTTGTGTTGTTTGCCTTTTTCAGTGTATTAAGGCTTTTCCTCATCTGCCAACTAATCAGAGGTTAATTACTCAGGGCACCCTGCCAGTTAATGAGTCGGTGGCATCTATAACACCCTTTGCTTCTTTCTTCTGTAACTTTGAGCCCAAGTGGGGCCCAGTACCCTGAGGTCATCTCAGCAAGCATTTGCTGTTCTGAGCAAGGTCATGCTTTGGCAGTGCCGATGCCCAGGTGGCTCAAACAACACAGTCCCAGAGCTCATGGAGTTTACAGACCAGCTCTCCATTCTCTGTGCTCTCCAGTTTATGTTGTAGAGTTGGATTGGTACCCTGATGCCCCTGGAGAAAAGGTGGACCTCGCCTGCAATACCCTTGAAGAAGACGGCATCACCTGGACCTCGGACCAAAGCAGTGAGGTCTTAGGCTCTGGCAAAACCTTGACCATCCAAGTCAGGGAGTTCGGAGATGCTGGCCAGTACACCTGTCACAGAGGAGGCGAGGTTCTGAGCCGTTCTCTCCTGCTGCTGCACAAAAAGGAAGACGAGATTTGGTCCACTGATATTTTAAAGGACCAGAAAGGTAATTCCATTCCCTTGGACAGTGTCTGTTTTTTCCTTTTGCTCCATAAGAGATATAAAAATTAAAAATGTAAAGGGCAAGCCATGATTAGTGTAGCTCATGAAGTAATCGAATCCCTTACTGAAACCACCTGGAATGTGCATTTTCCTTTGCTGTGGTTTTCCTTTACTGCACACTTTGGGTTATCAACTTTCAAAATCCCATGTTGAGACGGTTTCGTGGTGAGTTTGGATGCTTTTCCTGAGGTCCTCTTTAAATAACAGTGGTAGTGGTATTATTGGGAGGTTAATGGAAGTTAACCAACATGGATGGTGCATAACCCAGCACAGGTATGATAGCCTTGAAAAAGATTCATCCCCCCCGCCCCCGCCCTCCCCGATGTGCTAGGTGTGTAGTATGCTGTGCAGAGTCAGCATCCTGTTGGGACATGCCCAGTTCTCGCTGAACTGCCTGCCAGGAGAGCAGCAAGCAGCATTTTCCAAGGAAATAAATGGAAGAGCTCCACTCTTGTACCATATGGGGGGGCGTGTGACTAATCACAATCAAAATCTTACAAAAAACAAAACAAAACAAAACACCTCACTGTTGAATTTTTGTTCTTTTCAAACGCAGAATCCAAAACTAAGACCTTTCTAAAATGTGAGGCCAAGAATTATTCCGGTCATTTTACCTGCTGGTGGCTGACGGCAATCAGTACGGATTTGAAATTCAGCGTCAAAAGCAGCAGAGGGTAAGTGAAACTACTCTGCTTTCTCAGTTTTGCTAGAACTATGATTTCATGAAGAAAATAGGGTGACCTAGCAATGGCCTATCCATTCATGATCAGCGAGGAAACAAAATCAAACCCATATTTTTTCAATGCCCGCCTCCCCCCGCTTGCCTAAGTTGGAGAGAGAACACGGAGATGGAAGCTAATTGCCTGAACAAATGCATGCGTAAGAGCAGGATATTATTGGGGCCTCAGAATAGCCTCTCCTGTGTTTGAACCCACTCATCCAAACTGCCTGGCGATGCTTCATTAAGGCTCATAGCACCCTGGGGAGAGATAAAAGGAGAAAGCGAAGCAACAAATGACTTGCCAAAACTGCACCTTGAAAAATAGAAACAAGAGCTTCAGGGCATAGACCTTGAAAGCTCAGCAGCCAACTCCGAAACTCTGTGAGGCCTCTAGAAAATTTCCCAGAGCCACTTCAACTCCTTTTCCTTCTGCTGACACCACTCATCTGAAGTTCACTGTTTGTCCAATACACTGGGACTTCCCCTAAGAAACCAATCCCCGTGGATACAGGACCTAGGTTAGTCCCTCTATGCGACTTCCTCACTCATCATCTAAGTTCCCAGACAATGTAGTTATGATAATGGAGCCAACCCTAGGTGATCATCCTGGCCTTGCCATTATTTACCTGAGTAAATAATTTACCTGGGTAACCTGTGGGGTCCTACTTTTCCATCTTTAAGATGAATATGCTTACTAAAGAAATGCTTATATGAGTGCACAAAGACATAAATGCAAATGTTCATTGTGACCTTTTGGTAATCAGCAGGGGAAAGGTAGAATAGAGTGCACTACATTATATGCTGACTTAGCACGCAGTCATCAAAATGAGGAACCCAATCTATATGGTCTGTCATGGAGCACTCCCCATAATTTGTCCAGATGGGGAAAAAAGGGTTACAAAACCATTTCCATAAAATGTGATTCTGTTTCATTAAAAAAAAAACAAAAAAAAACCTATGTGTGTTGATATAGATAAAATATGTGTATATGCATATATATGTGTGTATATATGATTGCTTTGAATATTCATAGAGAAAGGTGTGGTGGAATAAAACAAGATATGAAGAATTTATATCTGGGGACTGAGGTTAGGGTTAAAAGAGGCACATACACTTCCTTTATATGCACCTTTATCTTTTCAATATTTTATAATAGGTATTGATTTTGTAATAATGGGGAAAAAATGAAATAAAAATGTTAATAAGGAGATGTAACCAGGGGTGCTAGATCTAAAATTTTCAGATTCATTTTGGCCAGAAGCACATAAGTGCAGAATTGTTTCTAAACATTTGTACTAACATTTGAAGCAAAGCGTGTCCTCCTGGGGAGGACAGTTTCTACTCCCTGGGGAGAAATCAGACCAGTTAGAGAAACATTGTTCTCAGACAGCTGGCCAGTTACAACTGCTAGGAACTCACACACAAATGTGTGACACCAGATATGCCTGTCTTTGACTTCAGCGCCTCGGACCCCCGAGGGGTGACGTGCGGAGCAGTGACACTCTCAGCAGAGAGGGTCACAGTGGACCAGAGGGAGTACAAGAAATACACAGTGGAGTGCCAGGAGGGCAGTGCGTGCCCAGCCGCGGAGGAGAGCCTGCCCATTGAGGTTGTGCTAGATGCTATTCACAAGCTCAAGTATGAAAACTACACCAGCAGCTTCTTCATCAGAGACATCAGTGAGTTTGCTTGATTATATCGCTTCCTAAAGATCGATGCCATTCATCACATGTCCTCGACGCCCCATGCACTGGGGCAAGGGGTTTACATGCATCATCTCTTTTATTCTTTAACCCCCCCCCAAAAAAAAAAGTATAATGTAAATACTATTACCTGCATTTAAAAAAAGAGGAAATTGAGTCTTAAAAAAGTTCAGCAACTTGTCCCAGATCTGCCCCACTAAAAAAACCCACACTCTTGGCTACACTTCTATTCTGCTGCCCTTGGTGGGCTGGGGGAGGACGCAGCCTGGTTCACACAGGGTGGCCAGGGAAGGTCTCTCTGAGGAGGTGAGTTTTAGCTGAGTCCTAAAATAAAGAAGATGTCAGTTGGGTTAAGAACAGAGGGAAGAATATTTGTGAAGCACCTGCTAGGAGCTATGGTCTTTGGAGTCCTGCTGGGCCTAGGAGCCCTAGCACATTCCATAAAATGTCTCCCTGTCCTCATCCAGAAGAAGGTATGCAACCTGGGGACAGTCTTTGTGACACCACTGTACTTTCCATGTACAGTCCAGTGGCTGGCTCAGTTATCATTTCTTGAATGAATGAATGAATGAACAAACGAGTGTATGAGCATAGAGACAATTTGACTTAACTGCTACAAGACAAATCGGTGCCAGACACCATGAAAAGACAAAAGAAAGAGCACTAAGTGGAAAATCTCTCACCTCATCCTCAGCAAGAGGCTCAGCTCAGCTCCGAGTGTAGTGCAAAGAGGAGGACTGACCACAGAGAGGGTGGCCCTTCACCAATAGCCCAGATATGAGCATCCTGTTGTCTCTAAGAATTCTCTTCTGAGCACTGCACAGAAGTGATTCCACCGCCGGGGCCCATCTGATTGTGCAGTGATAAGAAGGATTCTGAGCCTCTCTCCGGCTCAGCCATAAAGGATATGGCAACTGGTGAGGGCTGCCTTCCTCAGGCACCAGTGTGGCCTCACCAGCAGCAGGGGTGCCTCATGTCTGCCAACCAGGTGCTCAGAGAAGTAACTATGTTATGGACTCACAGCTGGTCAAAAGTGATAGTGGGCTCAAAGCCAGAGCCACCTGACTCCAATGCTCTACGAAAATAAAGGGCGTTTCTTATCTTTTTCCACAGTCAAACCCGACCCGCCCAAGAACCTGCAGTTGAAGCCATTAAGGAATTCCCGGCAGGTGGAGGTCAGCTGGGAGTACCCCGACACCTGGAGCACTCCACATTCCTACTTCTCCTTGACGTTTTCTCTTCAGATCCAAGGCAGCAAGAGAGAAAAGGTAAGATGTGTCATATGTTCTGTGGTCAGGTTTATGCAGGACCACATCAAGGAGAAGATAAAATGATAATAACAGCTAATGTTTATTTACCACTTTCTCTGGGCCCAAAACTCTGCTGAGGGTTTTACATATGTATCTCACTTAATCATCACAGTAGCTCTACAAAGACAGGTGGTATTATTATCACCACATCACTGTGAAGACATTGAAGCTCAGAGAGGTTAAGTGACTTGCCCAAGGTCACCCAGCTAGGAAGTAACAGAACAAGGACACAAACTCAGATTGCCAGACACAAAGGCCACGCACCTCCAGTGTGGCTGATTATTAATTCTTGCACTCAGAATTGGTCCTGATATAGGAGAGCTGGGCTCCAGGTACCTACAATTATTGTTTTGACTGAGTGCGTATACTAGATGAGAGAACATTCATGCTATGTCTCACCCAAAAAGGATAACTCTCACCTGTTCTGCACATTGTGAAATTATTAAACAGAATGTCAGTATTTACATAGGCTAAGATGACAACTTTCCCATTTTCTTGCCTTGCCATCAAAAATCCCAAGGTCCCAGAGGCAGCCCTAGCCTCCTTGGACCCCGGTTTTAAAATCACTGGATTAAGGCCTTATTCAGCACAGCATTTAGCACCTGGTAGAAAGTCAGTGATTCAGTCACTCCCTGAGAATTTTTTTTTTTTAAACAGGGACAAGGGCTATTCTGGAGTTTTTACCTAAACATTATTTAAAATCTTGATATGTATCTTCCCTACTTAAGATCTGTATCATTAATAGGTACTATTTACTGAGTGCTTTCTACATGGTCAAAGGCTTTGCTAAGAGTTTTACATGATTAGTATTTTTAACTTTTACAACTCTATGAAATAGGCATTGTTACTCTCCCTTTTTTATAAATGAGGAACCTGAGACACAGACAGCCTAAGACATCTACCTGTGGTCACACAGCTTCTAAGGAGCAATGCCTGGATTTGAATAGAAGTTTGATGAAAGGATTGGAGTATGGTGTTGCTGAATATCCAGGGGACAGCTAGAGCAAACCTGTCCCCGTCCCACCATCGGCCAAGTACTGGGGCAAGTGCACACAGGGCCTTCAGACAAGGCAGCTGTACTATGTAGAAAGATGAAAGCTGGACCGATTTCACCCTCAGGACTTGCAAAGTAGAAAAGCGGCACCTGTGTTTAGCGCTTCTGTCAGTAGGTGGCGCACGTTTTATACGCTCCCCTGTGTGCTGCACGTGCAGTGCCCTAAAACCAGGGTGTGCTTTTTTAGGGAGATGTGCTTTGCAGAAATAGGCCCAGCCCACCTCCTGACTGTGTTGCTCCAAATTTTCCCCCTCCTTTGCAGAAAGATAGACCCTTCGTGGACAAGACCTCAGCCAAGGTCACGTGCCCCAAGGATGCCGTGATCCGCGTGCAAGCCCGGGACCGTTACTACAGCTCCTCCTGGAGCGAATGGGCATCGGTGCCCTGCAGTTAGGTGAGCAGCCCCGCGAGGCCCGGGCCAGACCTGCACACTCGGGTGCAGGGCAATGGTGTAGGGTGGCCACTCAGGAGAGAAAGCGGGGATGGGGTGTCTGGCACAGTCTCCAGAGTCAGAAAAATACATTTGTTCATTAACAGACATCTACTTGATGCCCATAGTGTTCCAGGCACTGTGCTGGGCTCAGTGATAACTGCAGTAAAGAGAACAGGCATAGGTCCTGCCCTCCTAGAGGGGAAGGCAAAGAAGAGAGAGAGGTAGCCAAGAGTCAGAGCATGGATGGCTTACCAGCTGTTTCCGGGAGTTAAAACTTCATCCAGGGGGCTTTGGGGCTGGGAGTAGGGGGCACAGAAGGATTTTCAGCAAGGAAATGACATCATCAGATATGCTTTTAGGAAAACTCTCAAGGGAGCCTCTGGTGAGCAAGGTATCAGCCAAATCCTAGGCCACATAAGGGCTGCACCCAGTTGTCCAGATAATGTGTCATGTAAAATACAAAGGGTTTGCTGCTGCATTTCTAATCCTCATAGACTTTTGGCATTCTTTTTCAGGTTCTACTCCCCGGATGAAACCTCGGAGGAAAAGTGGAAGAGATGCAAAAATCTTAAAAGACATGATGCAGTAGACTCCAAAAGATACTTTCTACCTAATTTGCTTTTTTAAAATATCACAATGTCTGTGCTGTATTTTTATATTTAAATGCTAAATATCCACTGAAACAATCAGCTAATTTATTTATAGACTTTCCAGCCAGCAGGTTGTAACTGCTATTTAAATATTTAAGTAATTTATGTATTTATTAATTTATTACAGTTATTTAATGTTTTTTGTGCCAAGGTGTATTGTATGTTTCACTCTCATGACCGGCTCTATCAGGAATGGGCCCTATTCTGCAAAATGTGAATTTATGTGTTATTTATACTGACAACTTTTCAATCACGCCTGCAAGTGCATCATCAGTTTTATGACAACCTGTAAGAACACAATGTTCCAATGCCAGCGCCATAATATATTTGTGATGCATGGGAACACAAGAGATAGTTAGAGACATGGAGACAGGAACCCACCTGAGGAGGTCCTGGGGAGAAGATGTTAGTTCCCATAACCATGAAGACTTCCTTGAAGTGGTATTGATAATTCAAAGCCACCTACACTTCTCACTGAGTTTAGTCTTTGGTTGCTTGAATTTAGAAAGGGCTTTAAAAAAAATGATTGGAATTGAAGTTCAGCTTCAGCCTCCGTGGCAATCCCCGCCCCATCTATCTGTAAGTCATAGGAGAGTGACAAAGAGTGACAGAGAGTGACATCGTAGGTGTCTGGAAAGTAAAAAGATCTTATGATTCAAGAGGGAGGACCAGTGCAGTTACGGCTAAGGACATAAAATTGTCAGAATTGCCAGTTGCTCCTTCATTGCCACACCAGAAAAGCAGACAGATCCATAGACATGATTGAGAATCGTTTACTCGTCAGCATGAGCGAACCTGACAAGCGGATATGACCTGAAAGTGCCGAACCATTAAGGTGCCACTTTTAAGTAATGAATGTGCTTTCGGTAAAGTGAGTTAATTTGTTTTCTGTTTACTTATTTATTTTTACATCCCAACAGTGACCTAATAAAAATGTTACTTTTCTTTGCAATACTATTTTGGGCTTTCTCGGCTGACTCGGGTATCCTGTTCCCACATCGACCAGGGCTGCATTTTTTTTTTCCCCTACCATTTAAGACTTGCCCTTCCTTGAAGCAATTTCATTTCCAGTTTTGCAGCGTCGCCCTTTCCCTTTATAGGATTCCCAGCGTTGGCGTCTTGCTGAGCTCAGGGACTGTGCCTGGGACCTGACCACGGGGACTCTGCGAGGACACTGAACTGTGTCATGCCCTCTGCAGGGGTGGATGCTTTTGCTTCTTTCATCTTCTATCTTGGAATCCCTCTCCTCGTTTGCCAAGCACCACGAAATAAAACTCCAAATGGGGCAACGCATCCCATAGGCTCCGCTCATGTTTACCGAGGGTTTGCCATGTGTCTGGACAGGTGCTAGCTAGCCCTTGGAGTTGAGGAGTTCCGAAAAACCTCGGGTTGCCTCCCCAAAACAGTGCCCATCCCTGGCACAGCTTATAAGACAGGGATGAAAAAGTTAACTTCAATACCACTAAATGCTAAAACATTCCATATATATACATAAAATATATATATATATATATATATATATATATATATATATA